TTAGAAAAATGCACCTTAAGTTCTTATAAGTGATAATTGTCTACTTACACTATTAATGGCTCCGAAAAGGACAAAGTTGACAAAATTACATTTCAAACGAGTAAAATTACACTAATGTTTGTGTAAGTCTAGCGAAATTGTTCGAATTGCCCACCCTGTACCATTTGGCATTGTCCTAAGCGTGTGTAAACGCCGTCTACACTTCGTTCAAGCATTCCCGGGTCGATTTGATTTATTTCAAAACGAATACGGTTTTTAAGTTCTTCCAAATCACCTGGTCTGTTTGTGTACACACGCGATTTCAAATAGCCCCACAAAAAAAGTCTAGAGGTGTTAAATCAGGCGAACGCGGAGGCCACTCGATTGTTCCGCGTCGCCCGATCCACCGGCCAGTAAACGTGTTATTCAAGTACTCCCGTACTTGCACTCCATAATGGGGCGGTGCACCATCCTGCTGAAACCAAATTCTTTCCTCAGGAATATCAGGATCCTCGTTGTTCGGGAATAACTCTGCTAAGCTTGGGACCAAATCGAACCGCAGGAAATCCAAATAGCGAGCAGCAGTTAAATTTTCCTCGAAAAAATACGGGCCTAAAATACGACGCCCTATTATTCCCGCCCAAACGTTCACCTTTCGGGGGTGCTGATGATCTACTTCTTGCACCCAGTGCGGGTTTTCCTGAGACCAATACCGGCAGTTATGTCGATGCACCGATCCATTAAGATAAAAAGTAGCCTCGTCAGAAAAAATTATGTTCTTGAGGAAGTCGGGGTCTCCGTTACATCGATGCATTAAATCTTCACAAAAGTGGAGACGGCGGTCTGGGTCGTCCTCAGTCAATGCATGTATCAAGTGACCCTTATAGGGGTGAAATTTCTCTTTTTTGAGAAAGTTCACCACAGTTACATGTGAAATATCATTGTTCAATGCAATCGACCTTGTACTAGAATGAGGGTTGTCCTGGAGCTCCACCAGGATATTCAATCTAGTTTCATCATCTACTCTAGGACGACCCGCACGAGGAGCATCTTTCACACTACCAGTTTCCTCAAACCTTGCCAGTACCCTACTAACCGTAGATTGCGTAATTGGTGGTCTGTCAGGGTACGTTGCATTAAATAATTGGCAAGCTTCTTGATGGGTTCGTAACTTATCGCCGAAACCAATCATCCTCAAAATATCAATTCTTTCGCGTTCACTAAGTTTTGCCATTTCGAATTAAACGATTTCACCAAAGAATGTTAAATCGGTACTGATTTTTAGTCTTCAATATTTCAGGTAATCTACTCCTTTCAAGTAAACATTTCTTTGGATCTTTTTTTTTTGGGGAATTTATCGGCAAACTCGAAGACAAAAAGTCGACCTTAATTTGCTACATACTATTTGGATTTTGTGCGGTTGAACTTGGTTCTAAATTTTGCAGTTTAATCAGGATCCTGACAATATCTGATGAATAATTCCGCAAATATTACATAACACCAGTTGCAACTTAAGTTATCTGAAATGCTTTCTGCCGAATAAATTTTTTTCTAAGGCATTTGATCCGTAAACAGCAAATTATTGCATTCAAGAACTTAAGGTGCATTTTTCTAAAAAAAATTGTTATGTAAGACATCGAAATTTTCACACCGTTGTTTAGATAATTATCACTGTCATCAATTTCGAACGAAAAAAATATGCGTTGTCGTTTAAAAAAAAAATTATGTCATCGCTGCCGCAAGTGGATTATCAAAAAAAAAATTTCCACATAACAAGGTGCCCTGGATCAAATAAAAATCGACGGGTCTCACTGTTTTTCGAAAAAAAAATTCTTTAACGGAAATATGAATTTTATGCAGAACTTTTTTACCACGCTGTATACTAAATAACATATAAAAACTCTTGAGTTTCCTCATAAAAAATAGAACAAATAATGTTCAAACTATTTTCTTCTAAATTTAATGACAACGGAGATATAGAGAGGTTAATGTAAATGGTCGAATTTAAAAAAAAAAACTGTATATCTAAAACTAATCAAGTTAGCCAAGAAGTTTTGGTACCAGCGAAGTAAACTCAAAAGAAGAAGACGGGATCGATATCAGATTTTTTTGTATCTATCACCATTTTGGCTGTACCCTATAAAACTATCGAAAATCAACCACCCTGTACAAATAAATAATAAAAAAACAGTACAAATTCATTCAAGCGTAATTAACATATTGCTCAATAATATATGTATTCTTATAGAAATAAGTATCTTTTGTACACTCCACTTTCACGCTATTGTTCTATTATTTTATTTATATTTCAAGAATGACCAGAATGAGACAAGGTGCTGGCTATTTGGTGTAAAACGAGTGGTTAACAAAAAGACAAGTACACACACGCTGCTTCTTTTCGAAATATCCTGTACTACTATTAAAAGTTCATCTAGTAAAAGTATAAGATCAAAAGGCTTGTGGATAATATTCTGCATTTTAATAAAGCAGTCGCCTTAAGGGCATCATACAAATCATCAATGACTATTACAATTTATATTACTCTATAAAGTGAGTTGTAAATAATATGAAACCTTTGTATTAGTTTTATTTCGTCGTTGACATTAATTGACTTTTTATCCATTTATTATCATGAATTTAGATTATGCCTTATATAACTGTATGCGAATGTAAAACGTAGTTTATTAGGAAAAGCTTATTCGTTAATATATTTAAAAAGTAGTCTGGAAAATTTCTTCTTTACAAGTAACATGACCGATCGTGTTTTTTTTCGCATTTTTAGTGGCAGTAGGTTCTTATTATTTTTTAATAGGCAACCAAAATATATTGTTTGTACATTTTGTACACTGCGTTCTACTTTCAAAATGCGAATGGAGTATACAGATGTCTTACGTCGACGGCCTATTAGAATATTTCAGAGATTACTTCTATTTAAATTTTGAAAATTTAGGCTTTGGGGTTTTCGGAAGTGCTCTCTTTAAATAAAATAATGCCACTGTTGTAGCACTTCCGGTTATACCGAAAATCTCCATCTACTTTAGGGGGGCTTTTATCAAGCTTCCCTATATCTATCTCTAATGGTCATCGAGATATTTCAATTCTATCAAAAAACGTTGCTTTTCGGTAGCCTAGTTCAAAATTGCTAGATATTTTGGAGTGAGATAAGGGGATGTCTATCACTTATTACAGTTACTTTAAAAACTGTTTAATTTTACACAGGGTGCTGAAAATTTATTGTAGAATTTGCTTAACTTCGAACCGCCGAATCTTGTTTTTTCTAAATGGAACATCCTGTATATTTAATGAAAATCTATTGTAGAATTTTACTCTCTATATAGCCATATTGTACTTCCCTATACCTATCTCTTTTAATTTTTCTTTTAATAACGGTTTTTGTAATAAATAATTAAAATGATCCAATTTCTTGCGAGGATGGCTGCGAAATCGCTAGCAAACTTGTGACATATTGGTTGTTTTGTTTTTAAGTTTGCTGGCAATTTCAAAGCCATCCCCGCAAGAAATTGGATTTTAATTACTTATCATAGAAACCGTCAATAACAGAAAAATTAAGAGAGAAAGGTATAGGAAAGTATCATATGGATGGATAAAGGATAAAATTCTACAACAGTTTTTGATTAAATATACGGGAGTTTCTTTTAGAAAAACCAAGTTTTGGCGATTCAAAGTTAAGAAAATTCGACAAAAAATTTTCACCCTTGTGTAAAACTAAACAGTTTTTAAAATAACTGTAACAAAGGATAGGCATCCCGCTTACTCTCTTTCAAATGTCAATACTTCGGTTTGTACAATGTAAAAAATAGTCATTTTTTAATTAAGCTATCGATACGCAAGTTCCTTTGAATGAATTGAAATCGAATCGAATACTATTAGAGATAGATATATGGAAGCTTGATAAAAATAATGAGGGTAGTTAATATAACGTTTTTTTCTTAGACGCACAGTTTTCGAGATACGGTGTGTTGAAGTTGTTACTTTCCAAATGGTTTTGCTTAATTATCTTTAAATCGGTTAAAGATAAAAATGTCAAAGTTTGTACACGAGTAAACATCAACTGGACGTTAAGATAATGTGCAAACAGTTTCTATGTGAAAAGCAGTCTCGCCGATACAGGGAATTGGAGGGGTACAATCGAAAAAAAAATGTTAAAAGTCAAAATTTGTTACATTTTTAGACTGCAAAAAATACGCTGAAAAGTAATAAACAACAATTATTACATTCCAGTTATTTTTATAAAGTTTCTGGTTTAAATCTAGATTAAAAATAATTGTGATTTCACTTTTGACGATTTAGCAAATATGCATTTGTATTAATTAAGCTGAGGATAATATTTTTTCCTTCCTACTACTAAATAATTAATTTGTATATTAATGTTTTGCTTCTTTCTGCGGAAATATAAAATAGTAATAATTTCGAAAATTCCAGCTAACAATTTACATGAAGTTTTATTTGTACATAATGCAATTTTGAAAAATTATAAATAATGTGTAAAAAGCAGATTTATAATTTTATATTCATAAATGTGACACCTCTGCCGCCCTACTAAATAGGTGTATGTCCCAAATCGACTTATACCACACCTGCAGGTTTCAAGTTTTATTTCAAATCGTTTCAAAAACATTGTGAAATTTTATTTTAGAAATGTGCAGGGCCGTACTTCATAAATAGTACCAACTGGCCAAAAGTTCATTAAGAAAATTTTCATAATTTTTTATGCGTGTAACTGCAGTATGCTTTAAAACGTATGAACCATCCTGTATGCGATATAGATTTTAAATAAGATATCTCGTTTACTTGGCAGTATTTCCATAACAAAATTTATCTGTTATTTTAGAACCTTATTATTCATTATAGTATAACGTGTTGTAAGCTTCTAGATATTAAGTTTAAAATTTAAATTATTGAACATTGAACTTTTATGCTATCATCGAGACGTTTCTGTTATCCTATATCCCTCCAATAATAATAATAATAAAACATTATTATTCGGTTTGTGATAAAGTTCTCGTATAAAACTGGTAGTCTCCCGCCCCGTATTTAGTGATGACAAAACAAAAAATGGTCCTTATAGCATTTATTGTAGCGCTTGCGCTAGCTCCAGGTAAGTTACGTATCACAAAATATCCACAAAAAACAGATAATAAATCGTTTCTATTATATTTTCTCAATGGTTTGAAATAAAAATTATATCTTGAAAATTTCAGTGCCGTGGTAACATTTTTTTTTCAGATATGACAATATGTTTAGTTTAAAGTAAAATCATCCCGCCCCGCTCCCATGCCACCTACTACACTGCTTATAAACTTTTAGGTCTTATGTCTACAACTGTACAAGCCGGAGAATTGTCAAGCATCCAGAACTTCCCAGGTGTATACGTCCCACCTTCGTTATTGCCTCCAGAAGCTGTTCATCCACAACCTGAAGAAGAACCAGAAGCAGAAGCAGTAGTAACTAACCCATGTAACGCCTGTTTTGAATACATGACCGATTTAATCGACCAACTTACCGAAACTGTAGTCATCCCAGAAATTGAAGCTCACCCAATGCCAGAAATTGGAGTTCTTCCAATTCCAAATCCAGGAGCGACAGTACCAGTCGGCCCCAGACCTATAGGACCCCTTGCATAACTGAATGTTTAATTGATTTCGCGACTTTGAAATATAGTAAATTTATAAATAATGTACAGTTGTATTTATTTATAAATTAATTGATAACTAATAGAACATATTTTTTAATTGAAAGATTACGTTTCTGTACTTCTGATCGTGTTTCTTGGATCATTTTGGGTTTAAAAGCTAAAAGGGTGTAAATTCTAAAATTTTTAATAAATGTTGTTGATATGTTCATAAAAAACCGCTAAATATCTGTGAAAAGCTGTAATATAGACACATGAAATCAGAGCCGAAGATTGCTATTTTATGACTACACACAAAGTGACTTGCTAAATTGTAGATGCTATAAACGCATAACTATCGAGTACCCCAAAATTCATGCAAGGTTTGAATTTTGCTCCATTTGTGCGGTAAAGTGGTATCAACCAAAAAAAGAATACAACGTGACAACTGACAGATCAGGGTTATTAAAAATGCAATGCTACACGAAAGGACAACGCGTTTTCATTGTTGAACAATATTTTGATAATAGTGAAGGTTTGGCAGCCCGTTTTCATTGTTGAATAATATTTTAATAATGAAGGTTTGGTAGCTACAGTTTGCAATTTTCGTACAAAATATGGTCGGAATAGTGGTTTAACTTGATCAATTGTGAATAGATTAATTGAGGGAGACTGGATCTATTAGTGATTTTAAACACTCTGGCTGTCCTTCAACAAATCGTTCACATGAACCGAATTTGAAACGAGCGTGCTAGCGGGTTTATTACATGAATACATGAACTATGAATATAAAACTTTTGGGAAATAAAAGTTTAACCCTTTCTTTGTGTCTAAAATCCCGGTCCGGTACATCCAATAGTTAACAATTAAAGTTATAAAAAAAAGCTGTCTTGGAAACAAAGAGGCATAAGTGATTTCTCATTGTTTTAAAATTACTGTAAAAATAAGCTATATTTAATGCAAAAAGAGCGAATTCCCGAGCGGCTTTAGCCTGACCCTGAGACATTTTGTTTATATCGCTGTTTTGCATATCCCACATTGTTAGTTGTAAAAGGCAACTTAATTTCAACCTTTTGAAACTTTTCTTTTTCGATATGTTTCTTTGGATCAATTAGAATCTCTATCTACGACATTTATTTCTAAAATTAACGTTCAGCAATTGTAACCTGAGGGGTTATTTCTTTGATTATCTACCTTTAATTAATTATCTATTTCATTCTCGAAAGAGTTACTATTTAATTCTCGAAAGAGTTACTATTTAATTCTCGAAAGGGAGTTTATTTAGTTATCGTTATACTTTAATTAACACGTGGGAACTTAGAAATGTTGTATGTTCAGAAGATGCATTTCAGTCACTTACCCTTTCATTGCTTACGTGGAATGTAATCCAGTGGCTGGCTATACAGGGTAGCACTGAAATTGGAGAAACAAAAGGAAACACAAAACCTCCAGGAAGGGTTTATTAACAATAAACAAAACAAACAAACAAAATAACAACGCAACGGCTCGACGACATTATTAATTAATTGATTCAAACGCGACAGCTTACCGAGATTCAGGGAATGCGTGCTTTATACAAAATTTGGAAAAACTATCAAAATTAATTAATTAGCCCGATACTCTAAAGTTAATAATTAGTCTGCTCAATGTGAAACCTAAGGAAGAACTGGCTTTTTCGAGATCCTTCCTGAATTCCACAATTCGCTTTGACTACGCCCATTTCTTGGGTCCAGAAGTTTCGGTTCTCATCTTATTGGCGAGAACCCTGAATGTCGGCATGCTTTAATAATCAGGTTAATAATTATCTAATTGACTTGACTTACATTTATATAAGAATAATTATATGACTTACTAGTAACCCAATATAATCTAATTCTAATTTGGAATCTCCACGCTCTTCTTGTGGTTTTGCGCGTTATTAAATATCGATTTTTTTCTCATACTAGACGCTTAACACATGACCCCACAGTGGCCAAGTGAACTCGTTAAAATATTGGCAATTTTCTCCGAAGGACTGTCTTGGCGACGTACCACCACCACCACCATTGCATCAACATTTTGCAATAATAACAAAGGTCTGCAGAAAAGTGGTTTGTTCTACAGCAGCTGAGGATCATTTCCGAAGTAATTTTTTGCGTAGAATCTGAATCCGACCTCAGAATTGCTCCATCATGTCACGCTTCCGAGATATCCTAACCTAAATGTGCGAAAAACGCCGTTTTTGCTATATCTGAAAACGGTTCATGTCATCTAAAAGTACCTAGAACTCTTACACTTCAAAATGCCGTTTTCAAATTTGAAAAACATTTTTTTTTTCTTGGAGATATCTTTAAATGAAGTTTAGTACTTTAGCGATTTCATAACAGCAGTATCAAAATTGGAAAATGTTCTTCGGACAGCGAATGATATAAGTACATTCCTATGTTTTTTGGGTCGTCGAAGCCGAATCCAATTTCAAAATTATTCAAGCACTTAAGAGTTGAGAAATTGTCTAACCTAAAAATACAACATTTAGACAGCATGTGGTTTCAGCAAGACGGTGCAATATGCCATACATCCCAAGAAACAATTCAATTACTGCATCAGTCATTTCCTGTTTATGTAATTTTCTGTTTTGGTGATCAGAATTGGCCGCCCAGGTCATACGACTTAACGCCATTGGTATCATTTGTTTGGGATTATTTTGAAGTTTAAGGTTTATGTTGACAAGCCCACGAACACCCACGCCTCGAAAGAGGAAATTGAGCGCTGTACAACGAAATTCAGTCACATTTATGCAAAACAGTTAAGGAAAATTTCAACAAAAAAGTGCATATGTGCCAGCAAAGTTGTGGAGGCCATTTATCGGATATGCTATTCCATACATAACCATACATACATGAGTGATACAACTGACTAATGTTTGGCTATTTGATGTCTATCTACAGACATATTTTAAGTATCGGTGGTATTATCACTTACAAAGGATAACATCGTGTCGTACTTTGTGTCAGTAGGTGAATGTGCCAGTAGACATAAAATAGCGATGACATTTAAAGATGCTTCGCAAGTTATATCCATTGACACTCAAAACATGTCTGTAGATAGACATCCAAATAGATAGACATCCAAATCATCGTCGATCATTTCACCTATGGCATGCTTACGAGGACTAATGAATTCGAAACCAGCTTTGCCTGGTAATTCTCCTGATGATCTTAGCTATTTACTAGATATTGAGGGTGTAATTCATTACGAGCCGGGGCATATAGACTGTGAAGTAGTTGTTTCCCACAACATCTTAATAGATTTGTCTTCTCGAAACAAATATAACTTTCATGGTTAGAGGTACGATTTTCAGGGTCATGGAATGTTTAATTGAGTGAAATTATGTATTTATTAAATGTTATATAAGGTGTTACAAAAAAGTAGGTTAAGCTGTTAACCACAGAATTTTTGGCCGAAAACAATTGCACTTTTTTATGCTAGTTTTGATTTCCCCTTTTAAGGTACAGGTTGCAAAAATTGTAATTAAAAAGAAAGGTTTTTTATGAATAACTGTTGATTTTTAGGGCATTATAACACTAAAGATCGTATTCATCACGAAACATAATAATCTCAAAAACTTTTGCATGATGGTAACTTTTTTATTGTAAATTGGGTCCACTCAAAGGAATACTGCGACTTACCGCCACTCTTTATAAGAATAAGTTGAAGTAATGCCAGATCACGGTCCGTAAAAAAGACGGTCGAGTAATACACGGAAATTATGGGCGTGGCTTATCTCATACTATGTCACAAGATGTCTAACCTTTAGAATTCATGTTTGTTTACATGCGACATCACTAGTAATTTTAAATTTTTCCAAGTATTTAAGTAAATCTTTCATAGTTGTTTGGGTATTTTGCAGTAATTAGTTAGTTATTGATAATAATAATTTTTAATAAGTTGATGATGTTGTGTTTAATATAAACTATTAATTTACCACGTAAAATTGCCAGGAGTGAGGTTGTAGTGTTGCAATTTGCAATAATAAATATTTTTTTATAGTGCTAAACAAGAAAATTAAAAAACTTTATTTAATGTGTTTCCTAAGGATGAAAACTTAGAAAGATATGGGTGGAACGGTGCAAAAGACGCGATATGTTTAATCATATAACTGGACTTATTTGTAGTACACATTTTGAAGACTCAAATTTTGAACGCGATCTTCATGCAGAGCTATTAAGTTTATCATGAAGAAAAAGACTTAAAGAAAACAGGTTAAATGTTAAATTTCTAGTTTAACTGATTGTATTCACTTCAAAATGACTAAATTTATTGTTATTGTTGTATAACAAATTGATGTGATTGTTAGAAAAGCGATTGGAAATTTTAAGTATCTATCGAAATGTGATTTTAATATTTTTGTAAACTTGACAATTTTTCTTAAAATTAAATGTTATGTCAAAAGTTCTGTGCGATTAACTTTTCCTTTCCTTTTATTCCTCCATAGTCCATTTAACTCCGAACACTGAAAAAAACTCTTTCAAAGCTAAAAACTACTGTATAGGTAGTTTACTTGTAAAAATTTAGGAATTTTTTAATTCGGAACATCAACTGTAAAACTGTAGTTGGTAAGTACAAAAATAAATTATGTTGCAGCCTATTATAAAGTACTTTGGTAAGTTGTTTCAAATTTAACTAAAGACAAAAGCAGATACAATAACATCATATAAACTGTACACAGTTTTTATTAAGATAGGTCTAAATTGTTTATATATTCACTTCTCCTCTTCATTTTATTAGAGTTTATGGATATTAATAGATATCTGTAATAAAATTAACACAAATTTTAGGTTAATTATGTAACCAAACGTCGTGATGTGTATTCAAGACAATTTCACATTTCATCCTTTTATTTCCAAATTCCAATGTAAAGGTTCAGTTTGTATATAAAGGTAACATTTTAGACTCAAAATGCCTGTTAATTAACCATAACCATAACTGATTAAATTTATTATTTTATGTTAAAAGGAGCGTGGTACAAGAAAAGTGACAATTTTAAATTTGCCTCTTATTTTCTTATGGGAAATGCAATGAGTTAGA